CACCGTCGTTGACTAGCTAGTTCACTATGTTTTTTAATTCAGTACGAAAGGTATGTTTTAGTCTTTAATTTTCAAGCATTTTCCAATTTAGTTTTAATACCCTGTAAACATATAACCATCCAAATTTAACATTCATTTACCAGGAGGGTAAATTGAAAACAGTTTTTACCAAACACTCAAAAGCAAATCTAGATATTCCAACACAACAGCAGCATCCATTTAGCTCACAATTAATAGACATTAAACAGTAGCTCAGAAAACTTACTTGGTATGGTGGAATCAGAAACTTTGTTACAGGTCCTATGAACACCAGGCAAGCAAGCCAACGCTGTGTTTCCATTAGTGGGTCCCCTGCCCTCTGTAAAGCAGAAACTAGAGGCTTTCTTACCATACACTTACCATTTCTACAGATCAGGACAGAACACTTGGCCATTGAGCATTGCTTACGAGTAAGGATCCTCTTGCTTTCACATTCTTTCATCTTCACATGACGGCCATACCTGACAAAAAATGGGCAAGTAAAAGATGCCTACATCTTTAACAAACAGACCCTCAATTAAGCAATTCTATAGATATGGGAAAGAGAAGAAACTAAGCCAAGAACAGATAGATACCCAAGTTCAGGGCGTTTTGTACGCTTTCCATATACATTTCTAATCGTTATAACCTGTTCATGGTCAAGGAAACTCCTGCAGTACAGTTCAATGCCTGAATAAAACCAGTGAGGTGCTAAATCCTCTTAAGTAACATTACATTCTAACAAAATTAGGACCGTCAGTTGGAGGGATTAAGGAAGGCCTGTTTTCTCAAATGATGGCTCTTCTATGGATACATAAACTAAAAGGTGAAAGCAAAGAAGAACACATGCTTATTGGATACATGTCGAACCAGCATCTACCTTGCTAAACCAGCGAGTCTTACAGCAATGTTTTCTTCTTACATCTTTAGACTTCACTTTCTATCGGTCTTTGTTATTACATCAGGCACGGCACACCGACGACCAACTAAAGCTTCAGTATTTTGCAACCTATCACATTCCTTAACCTTCCTTCAATCCCCCACCTTGACGAAAGCAAACTGAGTGTACCACTTCTTCAACAGGCATACGGCTTAATCCAACTAATTACGGGGTTCTTTTGTAGGGCCACGACTTGTCGACTTTCGTTTTCTAGTTTGTAAGAGTATCGTATCAGTAAGGTGCTAAATCTCGTCGGCTGAAGAATACGAAATCTGGGTGATTGACCTGGAGATCTCTTAACCACTTATCAGCTTCCCGCGAGAGCTTGTTTGCCAATTGATGCTCAACTCCACCATTTCGCATCCACAATGATGAGCCTTTAAACTTGTATGAAGCAAGTCCAAAAATTCTTAAAGGAACTTTTTTGGCATCCGTCTTACAAGGATATGCCACAAATGGCAATTGAGGGCTTTGAGGGCTTTGAGGGCCTAGAAAATATGAAGAAAATGAATTTTCATGCTCTTCTCAGATATATAATGTACATCAAATCTCACACGATATAAATATTCTAAATGACATGACAGAATCCCAAAATGAACTTAAACATTGGTTAAACTGGCAAGAAATTGAATTACCTCCCATTGCGGTATGTAGAAAATGGTATGTGAGAAAGCAAGCATCAAGATCCTTTAATGTTTGCCCAGTTGGTATCCTGTAAATTGGGTACCTACAACACGTTTTGGTTTGGAAGCAATTAGTCACATGGATATTAAAGAGAACTCATAGAAATGTGAAGATTCTGATACCATGCCACAGATATCCAACTACATGGTAGTAGGTCACAACTTCTCAATGTTTTCAGCTGAGGGAAACGAGACGCAAGGTCCGATATCTGTATGCAAAAAAACAAAGAAAAATGAGAAGCTGTAAACCCGAATATATTCTCAAAACCCAGAAAACTACTTGCCTTGTCTGCCAGAGGTTCACGTGAATACGGTTGGTCTCTTTCAAGATACTCAAATAGAAGGCAACCTTGAGAATTGCAAGATTCAGCCTCATCGCTGGAGCAGTCCTCGAGATGTCCCAAATGCTGGTCCCTCAAAGACAATCTATCCATTCGAAGAGGAGCCGTGATAGACGGATCATTATGGTGGGGTGGTTCTCTACAGTGTTTTATTCTTCTCTTTGTTTCAGAATCACTACTACCATCACTACTTGAATCTCTATAGTCACTATCAGTTTCCTCGCCCCATTGCCTTCCAAACAACCAAAGCTTATGCATCAGTATCACAAAAAACAAACGTAAGAATATGATAGAATTCACAATCAAATTCATGAAACTCAGGAACAATATAACGTCCCATCAAAGCACACAAATTCTTTTTTCTTAATAATGTCATAATACTACATTCAAAGCTAAGAATATGATCAACCAAAAAAGTGAAACGACTCCAGCTACAAGAAATGGCAATCAAATTCTAGAACATTGATCCGAACGAGTCTACCCTTCAGTGTTTACCCTGTGCTATTTTCCTGAATGAAAACCTCTCACGCCATACTTAGTAACACAAAATGACATTCAGATTCTCAAACTCTAAAACGCTCTCGAACCCGCCATTAATCAAGATGACATATTAACTAAGCAATCAAAAGTTGGTTAAACTTTAAAAGCAGTTTTGCAACATAGAAAGGAGGAATTCTGTCTCGAAACGAGGATGGGTAGAAGAAAAGCATTCTACGCGAACTACGAATTGGCATGATGGTCCATAGGATAAAGCTACAAAATTTAGGGACAAAATATAAACAGAACATCAAATCACTCGAGGAAAAAACATACCCTTCCACCAAACCACAAACCTAAACCTCAGTACCCCTCACAAAGTAAAACAGAATCAGAACCAAAAAATTGCAAATTCCTGAGTTGAGAAGCTGCATGCTAAAATATGCACCAATGAATGGATTAAAGAGAACAACATTTCATAGAAGATAATCTGCATATTGAATACCTTGGCTTTGTAGACGATTCCGTGCCATACAATTGTATGCCAGACAAATACGGGACATAATATTGAACCACACCATCAGTGTTATTCAATAACAGAGGCACTCCAGCGCCATAAGCGCTCCACTCCTTGAAAGTTTCCCACAAATCACCAAGCACAAAGTAAGGCTGCCTCTCCGAATCGCTCGTCTTCCAACCTCTCAACGCACTCTGCAAGCAACAAAACACAAGTCAGCTGAATTCCAGAAGTGAAATCGAATTAAAGTTAAACATTGCTCTAAACCCACTCAAACCTTAGAGAGAAACTGAGCAGGCACAGACGGAGTAACCGACTGCAAGAAGCGCTCGAGATTACTTAACGGAGAAACAGCCGGCTGGGGAACTGGTTTAGTAGCTTCATCAGAGACGACACGGTCCCCAGCCTCTATAATCGGATACTGCACGGAAACATCCTTAACCGCGCAAGATGGAGTAGCTGAAGCGTGTTCTTGAGGTCTACAGAGCCTATCATTTTGACGGCTGAGAAGGCCCTTCCTGGCTCTCGATGAATCGTAAAACCGGTCCTCACCTCTGACGCGACCAAACCGAACACCTGCTCCTAACATCTCGACAGTCTACCACCAACTAAGGAACACTAGTCTGCAAGTGGCAAGAACAATCCCTAACCAAAGTCAACGACGACGACGACGACGGCGACGAAGCGGAAGTGGAAGAGAAATGGCGGTGCGATCTGATAATCTGAAATCCAGACAGCAGAAACAGCAATTGTCAGATCTTTCCGGGGAAATCAGATCGCGGATGAGGAATTTCAAGAGAGAAGAGAATCAGTAGCTTTGAATAACACGAAGTCGAATGGAATGGGAGGAAATCAAAGCGGCTCGACGAAAAACCGATTAGGATTAAGAATGAGGGAGATTTTTTTTCTTTTTTCTTTTTTAAAATAAAGAAATTAAATATTGAAAATCTCCTTCTTTTTTCTTTTTTTTTTAATTAAAATAAATTTTTAAAAATTGAAAACTCTAGTTGAGAATCATAATAAAAAAATAAATTAATTAAAATATTAAATAAGAAAATTAGTGTTCACTATGTAAGAGCTAATAAAATTCAGATCCCAAATTTGAAATAACAATTAATTCACAATTTTTTTAAAATATAATTAAGTAATGAACAAAATTCCTTTAATAAAACTATCATTCAATTTGCACTTCTTTTCTATAAAAAAAAATATATATATCCCTAAACGTTTAAAAAAGCTTTCAAAAAAGTTTAAAAAAACATTCAATAATTTATTTCAAATATATATTTTTAACTTTGAGCTTTTTTTTTAAAAAAAAAATCACTATGAAACTTTTTTTTTTTTTTTAATTTCAAACTTTTGTAAAAACTATTAAAAAAAACATTTAAACTTTTTTTAAAATAAAAAAAAAAATACTTTACTCTATAGGTGTAGGTAGACGACTTTTTTAAAACTATAAAATTAAATTGAGTTATGCTATTTTTAAAATTTTTAAAATTTATAAAGGTATTTTTAAACTTTTTTAAAAAGATGAAAAATATTAATAAAAAAATTTAAAGTCCAAGAGAACTTTTAAAACACCGCTAGAAGTTTAAGGGTATTTAAAAAAAACTAAAGTTTCCGTCCAAAGTTAATAGTAAGAGTATTTTTATTAATTTATTGTATACATATATATATATATATATATAATAATAATAATAATGTAATTTTCAATATTTAGAAGTAGAGGGCGAGCTCCCGCCACACGAAATTCCGAAAATCAACGTTTTGTCTTTGTTTAGGGGCAAAACTGTGAAATTGAGAAAATGTAGGGACGAAACAGAAAAAGTCTGACGCGGAGGAGATCCGGAGCTGTGGTTAGGTAAGGAGAGTTTATTTACGGGGCATCTCGCAATCGCAACTGGAATGTGGACCCCTTTGAATGGACCATTTTGTGCCACGTGTACGGTCCGATAAATTCAAACACTACCAACTAAATATATATATATATATATATATAATTATTTTTTTTTGGATAATAAAAATGGATAAGGATTCAAAATAGAGAAAGCAAAAAGGGAAAAAAGTCGCATTTGGCAACAACGTCATCTTGAGGTACACGTAATGATGGGGAATTAAAGATAAAACTCTATTATTTTTTACATTACAAATTTTTCTCCTCGATTGAAGAGACAAACAAGTGCCAACGAGTCAACGAGGACGTTGGCCCCAAGGGAGTGGATAATGAGATCCCACGTCAGTTGGAGAAGGAAACAAAATATTCTTTATCGAGATGTGAAAACTTCTACCTAACAGACTTAAAAGGAAAAACACAAAAAGAACAATTTCAGCTAGCAATAGACTTAGACAATCACAAGGAAAAGCACAAAAAGAACAATATCTGCTAGCAATAGACTTAGATAATCACAAGAAAAGCACAAAAAGAACCATATCTGCTAGCAATAGACTTGGACAATTACAAGAAAAGCACAAAAAGAACAATATCCGCTAGCAATAGACTTAGACAATTACAAGAAAAAGCACAAAAAGAACAATATCTGCTAGCAGAAAAAGCACAAAAAGAACAATATCTACTAGCAATAGATTTAGACAATCACAAGGAAAAGCACAAAAAGAACAATATCTGCTAGCAATAGACTTGGACAATCACATAGAAAAGCACAAAAAGAACAATATCTGCTGGCAATAGATTTAGACAATCACAAATTCAAAGTTTGAGGAAAAGTTGGAAAAGAAAAACTCAAAAAAGACAATATCTACCAGCAATGACTCTGGCTTGGCCGTTACAAGTTCTACAAATTCAATGGATAAGATGATGATTATTATGATGATTCAGCTATCCGCCCTGTCCCAAAATTGGGTCATAAATGCACTCCAAAGAACAAATAAGATGATTATTATTCTGATTCAGCTACCTGCTCTATCCTAAGACCGAGTCATAAACGCACAACCAAGAACCAAATAATATAAAGGAAGAACATATTACACGTTATGGTGCACTAAATAATTAATTTTGAGTTAATATCCTACCAAAGAAACAAAAATTGTATTAAAAAAAAGAAATAAATGTTACTTAGGAAGTGAAATAATGGAAGAGAGAGAACGAAACCCATGATGTGTTTTAAAGAGAAAAACCTGAAAAAGAAGCAAAAGAACAAAGAACATGAAACTTTACCTAAATTACACGAAGAGTCTGCAAATTGCAATAAGTGGGCTCCCTGTTAAGACAAGAAGACAATTATTGTGGACAAAATCATGTGGATGAAAACAACCAGCAAAGGATTCTCCTTCACATATATGGTTTTTGAGCGTTGAAAAATGCAGCAGCCAAAAGTTTAGCAGTGCCTCCAAGTTAGCTAATGGTTTTGTTGAAACTATGGACGGAAGAGCAAGTCATATAGAGATTCAAATGAAACAAAATGAAAGCATATGCAAAGGAGAAGTACTAAGAGGTGCCCGGAAACAAAACTTTCGATCGTTGTTGTCTTTGTCAATGTGAGGTTCCCTAATCTTTTCTTGAGGAGTTGTTCGAGTCTAAAAATAGAAGACTGTGAGATTCCATGTTGGTTGGAAATGAGAACGAAATATTACAAGTAAAAGTGTAGAAACTTCTTCCTAACAGACACATTTTAAAACCGTGAGGCTGACGGCGATACGTAACGGGCCAAAACTGATGATATCTACTAACGGTGGACTTGGGTTGTTACAAACGGTGGACTTTGATTCTGTATGCTAATCGAACACTCGATTCGATTGTTTTCCAAGAATGTTGAGCTCTGCATCCCTCCCTCTTTTTAGGTTGGCATGACAAAGAAAGTATAACAACCCAACTCCACTGCTAGCAAATATTGTTCTCTTTGGGCTTTCCCTCAAGGTTTTTAAAACACGTCTACTAGGGAGAGGTTTCAACACTCTTACAAGAGATGCTTCGTTCCCCTCTCCAACCGATGTGGGATCTCACAATCCACCTCTTGGGGGCCCAACATCCTCGCTGGCACAGCGTCCGGTGTCTGGCTCTAATACCATGTGTAACAGCCCAAGCTCACCGTTAACCGATATTGTACTCTTTGGACTTTCCCTTCCAGGCTTTCTCAAAGTTTCTAAAACGCGTCTACTAGGGAGAACTTTTCACACCCTTACCATGAATGTTTCTTTCCTCACATAAAGCTTTGATGTTAATTTAACCAGAAAAACACATGGACGAGGACCTTCAATTACTCTACGTGTCCCTTACTTTCACTACAGTGTAAATGGAAAATGGCACAAGCAATTAGTGGAAATAGATATCCATAAAAAGAAACTCCCACACTGTGTGGATAACGATTGGCTCCATAAACGTCAACCACCAACAAGATCTGGAGCTTATCAGTAAGAAAGAAGTCAAATATGACCTACTAGTCATTTCTCTAGGTTGAAAAGAAAAAAATGTAACACAGTATTTCAAAAATCCATGGTTCTTGGAGATTAAATCATCGAACAAACAGTCTCATCCAACAACATATATGATCCAAAGATTTACAGAATCAAGAACTAGGGCAAATACTGCACGAATTAACAAAAAAAAAAAAAAAAAACAGAATCCCCAATGCTATTCCAGATTAGAAGTAAAACCGAATTGATCAAACTCGGGAATGATGCATACAAATTCAGAAAGAGTTCATTTCATCAAACATGGAAAGATCCATTACCAGAGAAGGAAGATCAATTACGGACCTCAGGATTCGAGGGGCGCGAAGTAGGAGATTTTCGGTAGCCCTTGAATCCGAGGAAACTCGTTGTATTATAAATAATAATTATTAAAAAAAAATGAGGTGAAAATAAAGTATAATTTTTAATCATTTAAATTTAAGTGTAATTTAAAAAATAAAAATAAAAAGGTAAAATAAAATCTCTTAAATAAATGGAAAAAATAATATAAATTAATAATGGAGGGTTGGAAGTATGTGGTGTTTGAATTGTGAATACGGAGACGACACGTCGATATTCTCTATTATACAGTCAACCATTTGACTTTAACCAAGTTGAATTTTTAAATTTTCTCTAATTTTTTCATTATTATTTTCTAAATTCCATTTTTATATTCTAATATCAAATAAATAATAGGACGCATTAAATAGTCCAAAATTATTATTTATTTATTTATTTTGAAATAGAGCATACAAATTACTATATACGGTAATTAACTAAATGGGCGGTAATTTTATCAGCGGAAATCTCTCGTAAACATACTAGGGTTCGACCTTGACTCTCCTCGAGGTCGTGGGCTCCTCTTTCCCAACTGACCTTTACTAAGGTGTTCGTTTTTTAAACATATACGACTCAAATATTAATCTCGACCTTACTATCAGATTCTCCTTAATGGAGGTTGACTCAATAACACAATTATTTTTTTACCCATGACAAATTTCATCGATGAAATCGTGTTCACATAGCAGAAACGTCCAATTGAGTTTTCGCCTTCATTTTATCGTACTGATACGATGTAACGTGCAATCGTCACGAGACAACAGGATGTATAGCATAGGGCTCCCTGTTTCCCTTCCCAACAAATCCGTGATGGATTTTGAATCGGGAATAGAGCTATGACTTATTCGACGCTATATTTCAATTCATTATTTTTCAAAGCTGATCACTAAAGGTGCCATGGGACATCTATCGACAGCAAGAGTCTGAAATCCAAGGGCGAATCAACTGCCACTCTTATTTTTTCAGTCTGTCTGTATCAAACTTGTACCATAGTAAGAACGTGTTCTCAAAAGGGCACGAAACCCGTCTAAGATATTGTAAACGACCTTTAAAACATATTAAACTTGTAATTTAATTAAAAAAACATGTAAATTCTAAGTCAAAGGTCAAAACTAACAAGAACAAAAAAAGTCAACGTAAATGTTGGGTCTGAAAAACCAGCCAATTCAACGGTCTAGGATTTCCGGCACATCCAGAAGATTCAACTAATTTAGACCGACACGCGCAGCCCACACAGAGTTCTTCAGCTCCACCGATATTCACACCCCAAAAAGCAGCCTCCTCCTAGTGGGAGCCAATCCCAATTCATAAACCCACACCTTTTGTCTCTGTTTCTCTCTGTTTCTCTCTGTTTCTCTCTAAATGGTGTTAGATCTCTCAATTTTCATTTTCATTTCCATCTTCCTCCCGCCGGCGACACCCTCCGCCGCCGTAGACCGCCACTTCGAGGCTTGCCGTCGACCAATGTCCTGCGACGACGGCCAGACAATTCAGTACCCATTTCACATCGAACATCGCCAACAGAAATTCTGTGGATACCCAGGATTCAAGCTAAAATGCCACCAAAACGGCCACCCAATCCTCCATCTCTCCGGCAGGGATCTCGTCGTCCGGAGTATTTCATACAAAACTCACTCTCTCCGTCTCTCCGACGACGCGGTTCTGACGGCCTCTGAGTGTCGTCTTTTGATTGGCAACCTCTCTCTGTTTAACGAACCATTCCATCTCGCCGATGGCCAGGGAGAGATTTGTGGCGGAGAAGAAACGCGGCGTGCGGCGGAGAGAAATGGGTTGGTGATGAAATGGACGGCGGGAGAGTGTAGCTTCTGCAACAAGAGTGGTGGGTTTTGTGGGTTTGATTACTCGACGCATTATTTCAAGTGTTATTGTCCTGATCGGCCTCATGCTCTTCGCTGTAATCCGCCATCGCCGCCGGGTGAGTTCCTTTTTTTCTTCTCCGCCACCGCATTCTCTCTGCCATGGATTTGAACTTTATTTTATTTTATTTTAATTCTTTCTTGATTGGATGAAACTAAGGCTCGAATCCCACCTCAAATTCGTTGATGAATTGAGAGTTCTTGATTTACATTGGGATTATGCTGAAAAGTTTTTACATTTTTTTGCTTTTTTTTTTTTTAAATAAAAAGAGATGCTTTTACGTTTTTGGGTCATATAATCATTACTTTGCCACTAATAGCATGGATGGGGCCGGGGGCAAATATGGAAGTTACATTAGATTCGATTATCCGATTGTTTTTATTTTTTAATAAAATGTAGGGTTGGACGGTGAACCTTATTTTTTTACCTGTAACCGATTAACCGAGCTAAAATTTTCATTTTCTAAAAAGTTAACCAAATCCAGATCGAAAAATATCTAATTCGAGTAGTTCGTGTTATTGAGACCATAAGATTATCTGAACATCCCTGGAATTAGATCTGCCAACTTAGAGTTGAGCAGCGCAGTCCAAATAGCTTTTCGTGTTTGAGTCAATACTTCACGGCACATTGGTCAAATGGCTCGAACTCATTGACTTACTACTAAAGTTTTCACATTTATCGAAAGATTTTTTTTTTTTTTTTTGTTTTATTCTATTTGTCTTATTTTACAATCTTCTTTTTTCGGGTATTTTGATATATTTAAAATATTTATAATTTTTTTATTTATTACTATTTTCAAGAATTATATTTTATCAATATGGACGTAAAAAAACTTATTTTAAAATTTCACAAAATCTTACCAAAAAAAGAAAAAAAAAAAATATATATATATATATATATATATCGGATTTATTTTACATGAAAATATTATTTAATGATTATATTAAAAAGTATTTCGAGAACAAAATATTTTATTTATTGTTTATTATATTATTTTTGAAAGAACAATAACAAAACAAATTTTATTATTATTATTTGATTTCAAACTAAAATTTATTAACAAGAAACAAAATCGAATTATAAATTTATAATTTGAAAAACAAAACTAATTGGAATATTATTTATTTAAAAATAAAGAAGAAGAGAGAAAAAAAAAAAAAAAGCGGGAACTTATGAGTCTTTCATCTGTAAAGCGGCCGTGAAATTCGCGGTTGTCTTCTTTCCTGATCTCCGGCGAAGAGACGGGAGAGAATTCGATCGCTTCTTTTTGAAACTCGAGCAGTTTCTTCGACGGCCATGATCATGAGAGCTGTGAGTGTTCAACGTTTTCTTCTTCAACAACTCAACGCTCTGATTTTCCACTGGTTATGTTCTTTCCATTCATATTCTTGTGTTCTGGTAATTTATAATTCGCTATTTCGTAATGTGCGAAAGATTCAGTCGTAGACGTGTACTGTTCGTCCTCTGTTTTCCACAACTAACTTCTGACTTTTTTGTGCAATCGGTTCGTCTCGGGCGAAGACTTCTGACTAGATTGAGATAGAGATAGCGATTTTTAGGGTTTGGTTAACCTTATGCCACGACTGACGAAATCCTCGTTTAATTATCGCCTCGGTTTTGAATGTTCAAACGAGAGATTATGAACAGTCAAAGAGTCAAGTCTATGTAACGACTGGTCAATTGGGGGAAGTTTTGGATCTCTACAATTTCATTGTAAATTTCCTGAGGATGTCCCCACCTTGGTTTTTATTCTTTTTCTCTCGGTGTGTTTCTTGGAAACTTCCATATCTGGATTTGATCACCACTTGGATTTGGGAGGAGTTCAACGTGGAAAACCTAGAAACCATAAACAATTCGGAGAGGTAGATTTGGAGATCGAGGTGGGTTTTCTGGTAGTGTGAATATGGAATTTCATATGGGGTTGTTCTGTTCTTTCATTTTGTCCTTTGTTCTTTCTTATCTAGTAGCACATCCTTTGGCTCGGAATGATACTAGTTTTGTTCGTCCAGATTGCCCGCCCTTCGATTGTGGAAATTTTGGCTTCTTAGGATTCCCTTTTAACAACGAAACGCTTACTGATTGCGGATTATACACAGTTAGAAACTGCTCAGGAGAGCCAAAAATCCAGCTGAAACGTGAACGAGATGTATGGTTCGATGTTGTTAGCATATCTCAGGCTAATGTCATCCATATCGATGACACGGAACTTCAAAAGCAAATAAACTCTCGCAATTGTTCAATTCTGGACGATCTGTCTCTTCCGACTTCTCCTTCATCTTCTTTATCCACAAACAATAATATTACTTTATACAATTGCACAGATAATCCTGGAGGTGCTTTTCCTCTTTTCATCAGTAAATTTAGCTGCCCTGGTATTTATTCAGTCCTCAACTCTGGTACTCCTCCAAACTGTTCCACTTCCAATTCTAGATTTTTAGTTCCAGCTCTCCCGGTTGGTCCCAATAATTCTGTTCTTGAGTTTACTGCTGATTTCCAACTGCGAGTGACCGTATCTAGTATATGTTATGACTGTTTCCGTGAAGGAGGCCAATGCTCGATTACCAATGAAAAATTTGTGTGTAAGGATGGAAAACGAGAAGCAAGCAAAGGTATTGAATTTTATGTAAAAGTCCAGTAAACTGTTCGTGGATTGTTTGGATTAGGCTTTGCAATTTATTTCTTAGTTACAATTTCCTTGTTTTTACTGCGTTTTTCCTACTGGAAATGGGCATTATTGGTTTTTCAGATGGGTTTTTGAAGTCTGTTCTTGTGCATGATCTGTGTTTCGAAGAACAGAAGCTGGGTTATTCTACAATGAATGGTTATGAGTTTGAATCTAACACAATTCTTTTTCATTGCTATTGCAGATAAAAGTAGAATGAGCTTGTGGATAGGACTAGGTGGGGCAACTTTCTTTGAGAAATTGTAATTCTCGTCTTAAATTTTCTTTAAGCTGATATCATCTCGACACTGTATGTAATACAATGCAACTGCTATTTGAGATCTCTCTTCAATATTATGTAAAAAAATTTCTCCCATACCTTCTCAGACGAAATGCATCTATGCACGTGAAATGATGAGAATCTCATGGGAAGCCTATCAAATTATACGTAAAAATTGACTTCTTACTAAAATGGACGAGCTAACTTCATTCGTCCTTGTTACTTTTTAGCTGTTCGTCATAAATGAAGAAAATTCTGACCACTGTTCCCACCTCCCTTTTGTCTACAGGTGTTGGAGTCCTAGGTGTAAATCTGCTTATGCTATTATTTGCTCTTTGGTACTGCAAAAAAAGGCGTGCTGCTCCAACAATGCTAACAAGGAATATATCTTGTGAACCCTACTCAAAATTCGACCTGGAAGATGGTGGCGTGTGCTTTGAAGTTCCTGTTTTCTCATATGGCGAACTTGAAATGGCCACTAACAAATTTGATCGTGATAAAGAACTTGGAGATGGTGGTTTTGGAACCGTATACCATGGTAACAGAAACACTTCTTTTTACTCACTTTTGTTGAATTGCATTTTTAAGTAGCATATGGAAAACTTCTATTAGACTATAACCTTGATTTTTCATCTAACTAGGGAAACTCCTTGATGGCCGGGAAGTTGCCGTGAAGCGCCTATATCAACATAACTATAGACGAGTAGAGCAATTCATGAATGAGGTTAAAATTCTCACCCGCCTTCGCCATAAAAATCTGGTCTCCCTTTATGGATGCACTTCAAAACGCAGTCGTGAACTTCTTCTTGTTTATGAATTTGTCGCAAATGGTACTGTTGCTGATCATCTTCATGGCGAACAAGCAAGTTTTAGCTTGCTCACATGGCCTATTCGGATGTCCATCGCTATTGAAACAGCAAGTGCTCTAGTTTATCTCCACGCTTCTGAAATCATTCATCGTGATGTGAAGACTACTAACATTCTCTTGGACAGTAATTTTTCCGTCAAAGTCGCTGATTTTGGTCTCTCTAGACTATTCCCAAACGACGTTAGTCATGTCTCGACTGCTCCTCAAGGCACCCCTGGTTACGTTGATCCTGAGTATTATCAGTGTTATCAGCTTACAACCAAGAGCGATGTTTATAGTTTTGGTGTCGTCTTAATCGAGCTTATATCGTCAATGCCAGCTGTTGATATAACAAGGCATCGGCACGAGATTAATTTGTCTAACTTAGCAGTGGACAAAATTTTAAGACAGGAAATTGATGAGCTGATTGATCCATGCCTCGGGTATCAATCAGACGAAAAGGTTCGACGCATGATATTGGCAGTGGCTTGGCTAGCTTTTCTATGTCTGCAGCAAGACAAGGAAAGGAGACCAACAATGGAAGAAGCGCTGGAAACTTTAAAGAGGATTGAGAGTGGGGAAGAAAGCGAGAATTTGCAGGATAATAGTGCACTGTCGAAGAGCTATGATCCAGCTCCTTCTCCAGAGTATGATGAAGTTGAATTGTTGAAGAATAAGAGGCAGCAGCTGTTGTCCCCTACTTCTGTTGCTGATAAATGGATCAGCTCAACCTCATTTGTTAGTGCTTCTACTTCTCTATCATCTATTTCCTAATTCTTTCCTTCTCTTTCTTTTTGTTTTAGTTTAATGATAAAAATTTAGATTATGATAATGTTAGGGAGAAATACAATACATATTTAGCTCCCTCTGGAAAACAAAACATAATAATGTTGCATGTATATCTGTGAATCAATTTTGGCAACTATATACAAGGTAGGGAATGTACATTTACATATAAGAACTATTGAGAAATCGTTCAGCTGTACAAACAAAGATCATACTCTCTTTTTTTCTTCTTGAATTGAATATGGGCCAAACTTAGGCTTGGATTTTGTTAGAGCCTGGAAAGCCCGATGATAAGATTAGAGCATTGACCTGAGTTTTTGTGTCTTCATTGAATGGAAAAGAAGTCTGCAGTGGTCAGAGTTTTATTGGTTATTTATGCTTTGTGTACTGCACCATTAACTTTTATGTGTGTTCTATTCTGTCCTTTTAGATTTGGATCTAACTTTATTATATATGTTGTTTTTCAACTTGATAAATATATTGTGGGAAAGTAATCTCTATGCTTGCTTACAGGCTTACCTTTTGAAACATTATAGATAGATAGGAAGAATGAAAATGTTTCTTCTAGTTGTATTTCATTATGAAAATAGGGAGGGAGGCTAGATATTGTTCACTTTGGTCCATTATGTATTGCTGTCAGCCTCACGGTTTTATAACTCGCATATTAAGGAGAGGTTTTCACACCTTTATAAGAAATACTTCATTCTCCTCTCCAATCGATGTGAAATCTCACAATCTACCCACCTTGGGGTCTGGTATACTTGGCACATTGTCTGGTGTCTGTCTTTGATACTATTTGTAACAATCCAAGCCCATTGTTGGCAAATATTGTTTGTTTTGACTTGTTACTTCATTCTCCTCTTTAACTAATGTGGAGTCTCACAATCTACCTACCTTGGGGTTTAGTGTCCTCGTTGGCACATCACCCGGTGTCTAACTCTGATACCATTGTAACGGTCCAAGCTCACTGCTAGTAAATATTGTCTGTTTTGGCCCGTTACACATCACCGTTAGCCTCATGGTTTTAAAACACGTCTACTAGGGAGATGTTTCCACATTGTTATAAGGAAAGTTTCATTCTCCTCTCCAACCAATGCGAGATTTCACAGAGACCTTCAACTGTACGTAACTGAATCAAATCTTTTATCTCTTTATCGAAAATATGTTACTTATGTTAGTTGAGTTATGCTCGTAGTGTATATTGTTAATAAAGTTTTGGAAAACAGTGCGTGAAAGGTCAAGTAGTCCAAGGATAATGAAGGAGAAGATAAATGAAAGGCCAAAATGCAGCTGGTGGTAGAGGAGTGATGGAGACATGCACTTTGATTTGGTCAGTACTACTCTCATGTCCTTTTCCCATATCAACTCCCAACCCTCATCCACATATTTCATTTTCCTTTTTAGGTCAATTAAAGGTCAACCGGTTGAGTTGTCAAGTTGTTCGTTTTATAAGTCACAACCCATCAATAACACAAAAGATTTTAACCCGACTCAATCTTACTGTCATATGAACACCCTTACGGTTAGTTATTTGTCACGTCATATTAACTCATCTAAAATATTATACGTAAAGTCGCATTGGATACCTTAGCAATAATATAAATTGAAAATAGAACCCCGTAATTAGGGAGAAAATTTGGATCTAAATGACTCAATTATTAAGCTAAGTAATAGATCATCACATGCTAATCTACTTGATTAGTGAAAATTTTATATTATTCAATCCAATTTTTAATTTTACTTAATTCCAAATAAAAGTAAAATAAGTCATCCACGTGCTAATCACGCCTTTTAACTTCTCGTAATTTGCGACTTTAATTAATCAAAAGCTTAACCTCTTTTTTTCTCTTACCTATTTAATTACCGTCATTATTGTCTACTTAATTTGACTCCATTCAACACATTTAATAAAGTCATTATATATATATATATATATATATATATATATATATTTTGTTGAATGTTGATGCAAGAATCTATATATTGTCGAGTTGCTTTGAAAGCGAGATACTCGTACTGTTGTATGAAACATGTTCTTATGTTCAATTAGATGAGTAGATGACCTAGGTCTTGACCTGCTTTGTATTGAGTTTGTTAGACTGATTAGACTTACTGCCTCCTCAACTCGACAAGCTCCACGAGCCTCATCGTGGGCTATAGGTCTCTAATCCTACTCATAACAATATCTCTTATTTCTTAAGGTTCGTCTCAAATTTATCTTTCTACTAAAGCGTTGACATAAGAATCTAGTCTCGGGTTCTTGTCAACTTTGTAGTTGAAATATTGAATAAAAATGTCGAATTGCCCCTGCAAAGGAGATAGTCACACTCGTGTAGGTGATGTACCAAATATGTTCTTATGCTTACGTCAACGATTAGACTAAGTGTCGTGTTGAGAATAATATAAGCCGAGTTATGTTTTAAGCTGTGAGGTCCCACATCAGTTAAAGACAGAAACGAAACATTCCTTATAAGGGTATGTAAATCTCTCCCTAATTGACGCGTAACCTTAAAGAAAAGTCCAAAAAGAACAATATTTGCTAACGGTAATCCTACTCGTTAGATGTGGGCTACAAGTCTCTAATCCTACTCGTAACAATATCTCTAAATTCTTAAGGTTGAAGGTTGAATTAAATAATAACAATAAATAAAAATGGTAACTAAAATTAATAATGATTAATAAAAAATATTAAACTAATAATGTTGTTTAGAGGCACGTGCCTGTGAAGTGCTTGAGATTTCCACATCATTGTCGTGCGATTACAGAAAAACATGCGAACTTTTTTCTCACACGTGTCAGCTTTTTTATTTTATTTGTATTTAAAATTATTATAAAAAAAACTGTACCCATGCAAAACCTTTTTCTCAAGCCTTTCCAAACAATTAAATTTAATTATTAAAAATAAATAATAATAATAAAATTAAAATGACATAAATATTAAATTAATAAAGGGTCATCATTCCACCAACTATTCCTACCCCCACTCCACGTGCAAAAGGCAATGAGCTCAGATACCAAAATTTTAAAAAAATTGTAAATTCGTAATTTTCAATCCAATAATTAAAAAAACCAAACAAAAGATTTTAAGGATATTTGTTTTTATTAAATCAAATGATTGAACAAATAATGTTCATCAACATTATAATTTGAGTATTGATTTTTCATTCAATCTCTGTGTTCTAAACCAAATTGAGATTGAAATCGTTGAAAATTTTAATTGGGTATTTGGATTTCACTATTTGCAACAGTTCTTCCGATCGGTTATTTGTTGCTTTAATTTGTTGGATGAGAAAAAGGGTATTCGAAGCGAAACTAACTTTTGGATGAGAGAGAATTCTTCTATTGCTTTTACAGCAAAGCCACTTTCTCCCTCACTTTCCCAGAAAACCCATTTTAAGCACCTGAAAATCCCCAAGTTTCATAGATTTCAAGGGTTGATTTGGTGTTTAGGGATGGAATTTGGAGGAATCTGAACTGGGTTTTGCTCATAAATCTTGATTGTTTTGTGGGTATCTCTTCAATTTTAGAACAATTTCGTGGTTCTAGTTTTGTGATCTTGTTTCCATTTTGGGTTTTCTTTGTCTTAACCAGATCTGTTCTTGATCTTCACGCGACACGCCGCAAGACATTCTTCTTGTTCTTGTCTGGTTGGATCTTTGTCGTCTGCTTGTTTAAGTAATTTCTAGTGAAATCTGCACTTGGGTTTTCTTTCGAGTGTGGATTGTTTTGAAATCTTGCGCCCTGAGAGCTGAGGGCTGAGGGCGTGAGTTTTTCTTTGGTGTTTTAATGGCTTCCAGAGAAGGGAGGCGTCGCCATCATCATCATCATAATCTGGTGCCTCTTGCTGCTTTGATCGGTAAAGAGGTGAGGAATGAGAGATTGGAGAAGCCGACTATAAGATATGGGAGTGCTGCGCAGTCTAGGAAGGGGGAGGATTATTTTCTTATGAAAACTGATTGTCAGCGAGTACCTGGGAACCCTTCATCCACTTTCTCTGTATTTGCTGTAAGTTCTTTCTCTGTTCTTCTTGTTTCTTATGAGTTTGATTTCGTGAAAGTCCTTGTGTGTCTGTTTATTTGTTCATCCATTGTCTTGTAACATGAACATGAGCTTGTTTGCTGTTTGGATTGCTCTGGTTTCTTTGTGATTGAGGGGTCTTTTACTGAATTTCAAGTGTTTCATTAGGTTTTGCAAATGGGTTCTGGAGATTTCCTCTGTTCCAATTGGTTGTTGTTGATCGAAATTGTAACAGTGGACTCCGAGTCCACTGCTAGTAGATGTTGTTCTCTTTAGATTTTCCCTTTCGGGCTTCCCCTCGTAAAGAATGTTTCGTTCTCCTCTCCAACCGTGGTGAGATCTCACAATTCACCTCCTTCGGGGGCTCAGAGTCCTTACTGGCACACCGCCTCGTGTCCACGTGTCACCCTCCTTTGGGGTGTCTGGCTTTGATATCATTTGTAACCGCCCAAGCTCACCACTAGCCGATATTGTCTTCTTTGAGCTTCCCCTCAAGATTTTTAAAACTCGTATGCTAGGGAGAGGTTTACACACCCTTATAAAGAATGTTTTGTTTTCCTCCTCAACCGACGTGGGATTTCATAGAAACCTTTTCAAATTGGCCTTTCTGATGGATGTTGCTGTGTAGTTTTTCATGTTGATCACTATATGCTTCTACTGCCTTCAGATATTTGATGGGCACAATGGAAATGCTGCTGCAATTTTCACCAGGGAACATTTGTTGAGCCATGTCTTAGGTGCGCTTCCTCGTGGCCTCGGGCAGGAGGAGTGGCTTCAAGCTCTACCTCGAGCTTTGGTTGCTGGATTTGTGAAGACAGACAAGGAGTTTCAAAGCCGAGGTGCGGGAATTGTTTGCTGGCCTGCCTCGACGATAGTTTATTCTCTGTTTCAATGGCCTGCAGTCTGATCCATACTCATTCTTTGATGCCCATTTTGAATGTTTAACAGGTGAAACTTCTGGAACTACAGCTACGTTTGTAATCATCGATGGATGGACAGTGACAGTAGCGTCGGTTGGAGACTCTCGATGTGTTTTAGATACTCAGGGTGGTGCTGTCTCTGCGTTAACGATCGATCATAGACTTGAAGATAATGTTGAAGAGTATGTTTCCTTTTTCCATCCAATGCTGTCGTTTTTGCATCGTGCTAACTGGCTAAGTGATTTTGGTGTCGATGCAGGCGAGAACGTGTGACCGCCAGCGGCGGGGAGATCGGAAGATTAAGCATTGTTGGTGGTGCTGAGGTGAAGCAAGTTC